GGCAGTTTTTCCCGCTGATTGATGGACACATCGGCATGATCATTTTTGGTTTGTTTTCTAAGTTGGTCACTCTGAACAATGGGTTTTGACCGAAAAGCTGCTTGGATCTTGGCTCTCTGGTTCTTTGCATGGTCAACGACAGGTTCGACAGAGGATTTCTTGCCAGAAGTGTTAGAGAAACTGAAGAATTGGAACTTTCGTTGGGACAGCGTCGAGTTGTTGCAAGGCATGGCAGTGGACCGAGGTGATGTCGGCAGCCCGCTTCTGAACTTAACCTTGCTGCTAGAGAGTTTGCATCTCAGCCCTGAGCTGCTTCGCACCCTGAGCATTTCCGACAAAACGAACTACATGCAGGGCATAAGTGCTGCCATATCAACATCAATTTGGGCATCAGTTTCAATACCTTGTTTTGCGGACTTGTTATTTCTAGCGTCCAGCTTAATGAGCGCTATCAAGGCGCATAATGAAGCTGACCAAACTTGCCTGGGGAAGGCAACAGACCGCTGTCCATGTGCCGAGCGTGTCAGTCAACTGCTCGATTCGTTCAGTTGGGCTTTTTCAGGTGAGATGATTTGACTTTCCTTTGATTTTATGTCCTTTTTCTGTCTGTATTCGACATATTTGACATCGTTGAGTTAACTGTTCATGTCTGCCCGTTTCTTGCTTCGATGTCACAGGGTATCCTTCGTCTTACATGTCTCTTTTTTTGCATTGTGATCACAATGTCTGAAATTGAAAACATCACCTTGAATTATTATCAGTCGTTCTTCGCTTGGCTTCCTTTGACATTTGTTGGGAGGAAAGAAGCAGTGATGAAGTGAATAAGTATAACTTGCTTTGCATTTGAGAACTGTTGTGTTCGAGTCCCATGTGCGGCGTAAACTTTTCCTTTTAAAACTTCCAATTCCTTTGAGCAATGAATGCATCACTCTCAGCATCATTTGTACAACCAGCCAGGAAGGCGATTAGCAAGTAGCTGACTTATCAAATCAAAGTTAAGTTACAATCCAAACTGTTTCCTCCGTATGTGTACCACTTCTTTAGAAACGGACCTAAGATTTTCGTTCTCTTTTTAAACTTTTTTTAGTCACCTTTTGGTCGAAGTATCTATGAACTTTTTTGGACAAGTCTTCCATATCTTTTCTTCGTAGCTGCATCTTTCCCTATTGCAGCCTGTCTCTTCCAGAAATGTCTTATCCTTCCTTAATGATGTTTTAATTTCATTTTCTACTTCTCTTCTGAAACTTTTATGTCCTGAATCTTGTCAAGCCTGCTTCTATTTTGCATCCGTTTAGTTTCCAGACTTATCCACGCCTTCCTTAGTCATTCCTTGCGTCGCATTTGCTCGCTCCCCTACCGTTATTACTACAGCTTTTTTATTACCTATCTTCGTTCCAAGATTT